ATGGAAGGAATGGAATAAATAGAGAAAAAAAACTACATCTGAGTCTCCAGAGTGCACAGTTCCTTGCTGTTAGCCTTCAAGCTCCTGTCCAATCCTATGAGCATTTCTGTAAAATAACCAAAGGGCTATTACTTCAATGAGACCCACAACTAGAAGCTGATCAGGTTCATACACACAGCTTACTTTATGCTGACAAATGATTTACTTACCATACCCTAAATATGCAGAGTTAAGCAAGAGTAGGCTACATTTAGGCACTTAAGTCTACAAGTGAGTCACTGAAATAAAGCAGTTCATAATTGACAGGAAATATATTCAATAACGTTAAATTTAACAAAACATATGATAGCAAGAGTTGGTTTATGGGATAATGGTCCATCATTAACTGTGTTTAAATGCATGGAGGCCGTGAATTTGACAGAAATTTAAAATGTGATCAAGATGAAACAAAAATGAATTGGTTCTCCCGAACCTTCTAAAGTGTTAGACGTTACTTCTCATTACTGGTCACAAGAGATACATTGGGCTCTTCCTCTTTGTGTTCATTTGCTAATCCCAGATTACATCCAGAGTAAAGCATAACAATCCCAAAACCAGCTCATCGATTTGTCTACCTGATAATTACAAAAAAAAAAAGTGTTATTATAATTAGGTATTTGCAGGGCTAGACAAATATGAGTAGCATCAATGCTCCATCCGTAGTCAAGGCCTGTGTTGTGCAAGCTTTTGTTTCCCCATTTACAGTTTGAGTCCCTTTCTCAATATGATCGCTCACGTCTCCTTTGGTACATTTTAATTTTAATTTACTTAATCTTATTATTTTGGGTAGGGCCCTTTATGTATGTTGGATATCTAGCAGTGGAGAGATAATAGGAGAAGAGGGGAGAAAGAGGGGGCAATGACATGTAAGAAAAGAGGGATGTGGCCGTTCATGTGGTCGCTTTACCAGGGTGCATCAAGTTTCATACAATATCAAACCATTGTTTTTATTCCAATATAATGAAATGATATGAGGTCAGAACTAGCTAGTAGGAACCAAAACCTTTGTGATATCAGCTGTGTGGAGCAGTGTTTGACAACACAATGCATGATACTTTTAATATTATCAGATTTATAATTAAGACAATACATATTGTATGCATGTTAACATGATAATAGACAGACAGTTGTTTCAGAGCACAAATGTAGAGAATTATTGATATTATAAAGTATCTTAATATTGGCAAACTTTAGAAAAATGTTTGCATTAAAATTATTTTATTGCACGTAAAATAAATAAATAATAAAAACTTACGAGATTTTCCCAAAAGGTATAAAGGCAGCCTTGACATCATCGGTGGTGATCTCTGGGCTCAAATCACCCACAAAAACATGGAAGTGATCTAGATGAAGAAAATGATACAAACAAAGATAAGAAACCATTTTATACTCCCTGTTCAACTTAATTTCAGTAGATTAGAAAAATAATTGATGAACACTTACTGGAAGTGTCTTTCTTTTGGCTACTTGGAGTAGTGGCCCAGTTTACTTTGACCTCCTGTAAGCAAAGAGTTCATAGAGTCTGAGAAATGTTCACACGCAGATCATAACCAGAATTCAGAAACCGTTGTGTGTTGATTTCAATTGTAGGCCAAAAGAATTGTCTTACCTTTCCCAATATCTTCCTCCCATTCATGGCTGCAAGGGCTGCAGCAGCATCTCTGTGTTCATAGAACTCCACAAAGCAATAGGGATCATTGCTTGTATGCTGCAAGAGACAAGGATAAACACAAACGTTCAAAAGGTGGGTAGTAGGATATAGCAGCTGCAGCTTAAATCAATGTCTATTTGTGTTGTATTCAACAGTGGTGGATTTTTACTATTGGTTATAAGTATAAATTGTTGACGTGGCCCCCCTCCAAATGTAAATGTCATGGGAAGGAGATATACAAAGTAAAAGACATGCATGACGGTAAACAACCATGGCTGCTTACCTCTGTGATCATTTTACAGCTTTTGCAAGGCCCGATCTGGGTGAAGAGCTGCAGAATCAAAATCTCTGTTACATCCTTGGAGAGGTTTCCCACATACCTGGAGGGAAAAGAGTGGTTTCATGTAATGAACGCTGGTCACGGTTACAGTTGAACGATTATCCAGGAAACACTGAGGTGGTACAGACTGTAATGCGTAGATATTCTAGGAACACGTCGCTTATTTCGAATATTTACGTTACCTTGGTATGGTGAGTTACTAATATGACGTTATAAAATTAACGTTAGCTTGACTTTCAAGATGGCCCAACGTTAGTGAAGGCTAGCGTTAACTTCACCGCGGTTGACGCTTAAAATACAGATTAAAAACACATTCGAAATGCGTAATGTTTGTATGTTATCTTATGAAAGCGTACCTGGCGTTAGTAAAGCGTTACATGTGTGTATTGTATGGTGGTATTTGCCAGGGTTGTAAAGTCAGCGGGTAACGTTAGCTAATTTAGCCACCGGTTCCCGACCGTGGCGAAGCTAACGCTACCGTGAGACATCTACAGATACTTACAGGGTTTTGGGGTAGCTGTCGTCGTCCATGGCCAAAGCCGACAACAAACGTTAACCGAGTGCTGTGTATGATGTCAACGATCTAGTAACAACAACTAGCTAACTAGCTTAGCAGCTAGCTAACGGGGCGCCAGGGTATACGTCACGCTGGGAGTCCAGATAGCGAGCGTGCGTGGGCGGGTGCGTGTGCCTGAAGAGCCCCGGTGAGGTCAGGGTGAGGTAACGAGAAGCTACCATTCTTACAGTTTTAACAGTGTAAATCATAAACCCCGTAATACAAATAATTTGTTTAAGTGATTTGTTTATAATTCAATACAAACGCTCAAACAGATTACACATTCACTACCTTATTTATCACATTTAGCAACGACTTGAGGTGATTTTTAAGACTTTTATTTTGAAGTGGAAAGGTTGCGCTTGTTTTACCCACCGGTGTTCGACGGTTCATGGCAGTTTCTCGAACCATGGGGATCTTTACGGATCTGTGGGCACATTCATGTTTGATTCAGATATTCTGTCTTATAGCAGTATGATTCCAAATATGTATTTTGTATTGTTTTTTTACTTGAACAATAATTGCAGTAACTGAAAGTTAGAAGGAAACATTAATTACTGTATTCCCAAATGTTTTATTGTATATTAGCACTAGGGGGCGCCAGAGACAGCTACTTTTACACTCTTTAATGAGTTGCTGACAGATGCTGTTATCTCGAAGTGTTTTTTAATGAAAAGGGCAACAAGTAAGATTTCTCCTGTGCCATTCTTTTATCAAATTTCCATCAAGAATACTGAGAGTTTTTCTGCAGTCACTATTCACATCAAGTCGTAAATGTTCCAATTTCTGTTGAGCAATACGTAATTTCTTAATCCCCTTAACCACCACCTGACCTGAAGTAAGGACAGGTGGTGGTTAGCAGGTAAATAAATATAGGCTTTTCAGTGATGCCCCTTGGTGCTATAACATAACATATTTTTAAAAACATGTCACAAAGTATTTCTGGCAACATGAACCTCATCTCTGAATGAAGAATCTGATAATAATTTTTCAATTTGATTCATCACTGTATAATTGAGTGCAATGACTAAATGCATGAACTATTGTGTCACATATAAATGAACAATGTTGGACTGACTGGAATTTAATCTGCTACTTCTCACTCTATAATAAAGTATACAAATAATATTCCTTTTGAGAAATGCTTATTGAGTGTTGTTAATATATAATCACCTTTTACAGTACTTCCACGGCTATGTTATACAGGTTTTGTTTTGGACAATTTGAACACTTTTTTCAGGAATCCAAATCAATATTCTACCACTGCTATCTCTGCATCTTTGAAAAACCATGTAGTGATTTCAGACAGTCTCCAGCCAAGGCAGTAGGCTATGAGTTTTTTGACATTTACTAATATTTCTCGTCTGAGGCTGAATTGAGTGTTGTGAATTAAGAAAGATTTGTCAATGGGGGTGTCACAGTGCCCACACTGTCACACACCACAGTTAACTATTGCATAACAAATTCAGAGTTCCCTTGGACAGGATGTATCATGTGTGCCTGTTGTTATGAAAAATCTCGGGATTCCCTACACAGAAAGTTGTTCTCAAGTGGGGGTTTGGGGACGCACAGGGGTCCATGTTTGGGTGTTCAAAGGTGTATGGTGATGGTTTCCAGAGGGGGAAGGAGTACTCAGAACTTGCACTAAAGTAAAAGTAGAAGTACCAGAATGTAGGAATACTAAGTAAAAGTCCTGCAATCAAAATGTTACTCAAGTAACAGTGTGTTAGCATCAACATATTAGAAAGTAGGCCTACCAAAAGTAAAAGTATTCAGAATGCAGATTGGCCCTTTTCAGAATAATATATATTATAATATCATTTAATATAATTATTGATTTGTTTAAGTGTTATCAAAGCAAAGGTGCAGCTAGTTTTAAAGACTTTGTATACTGCAGGGTATCTTGTGAATTTGCAGGTGTAACTAAAGTCTTATTTAAGTGTTGATTATATTTCAAATAATTAATTCAAAACGAAAAAAAGTATTAAATAATTGAAGTGAAGTAAAAGTACACGATTAACCTCTGATTTGTAGTGGGGTAGAAGTAGCAAAAAAGGTAAATCCTCAAGTAAAGTACAAGTCCCTCAAATTGTACTTAATTACAGTACTTGAGTAGATACTTTACACCACTCATGGTTTCCCCTCCAAATGGAGAGAATATGACCGTTATATGAAGAGAGCACTTTCTACACAGCTGCAGTGAAAATCCTGCGGCTTTCTGGGAAATTAAATGCACAACAGAGGTTTAATACGAGCCTATGTTAGGGGGTTTGCGACATGACAGCTTTGGGAACCCATGCCACAGTCTCCAGCGCTGTCCGCCCCCGACATTAACCCGGCTATTTCGAGAAACTTCCAGCCCACTTTTCCACGTCACTTCAAGGAATCTTTAAAGCGTCCGTCGCCTGCATAACATGTTTCAGTACTCGACAGCCAGCAATATGAACGGCATGAAGACACAGTCACCGACACTGACAATGGCCAACAATGACAGCGACCCTCTCCCTCTCGGCTGGGAAGTCAAAATTGACCCTCAGACTGGATGGCCCTTCTTTGTGGATCACCATAACCGCACGACCACCTGGAATGACCCGCGACACGACACGAAGAAGGTAACGGAGCGGCGTGATAAAGTTTGTTAGTGTTAGCGGCTAGCGGCGGTACAACTCTTTATTTCTCCGTCGAGCTTCGTTGGTTCTAGCAGGTGTTATGAATTGGTATGCTGTTAAAGACGTGCTACATCACTGTTGTGCATTAATCTTGTTGACGGTAGGCCTTGTTGGGAACCGTCACCTCCCCCTCACAGACAGCTCAGCCGCCTATTATAACGGGTGATCAACCCCGTTATGTTCCAGTGTCATGATCTAACTCTATTATTACTCGATGACTCACCATGCAGTATGTAGTAGACTACCTATGATGAGCTTTCGGTATTTCAATGTCGCTTCTTTCATGGTGAAAAACACAGCGACGTCCAGCTCAAATTAAACTTTTTGCCTTACAAGGATTGAGGCTGGTCCCGTTTACTTTGGCCTGTTTGGAGTATAATGATAGACGCTGCCCGCATATCATGTTCTGCTGGATTTATTACATGTTGTGAAAACATACAGGTCTACGGAGAAACCCCAGTTGGCTGAAGTTAACTTCGCAGGCTGCCAGTTGTTAATCTTTCGTCTCACAGACAGACACCGTTGTCCAAAGTTAGTGTCCCAAAGAATCTGCTGGAAAGACACAGCTGTCAGGGGATAAAATTGGTGCAACGGTGCTGGCAGTGTGAAGTGTCCCATACAGAAATGGCAGAGGGCAAAGGGTCGTTAACAGCTACTTCATAACTTTATTTTCGAGCGAAAATGCTACTGGATTACATATAAATGCAGTTTTCTGTTATGTAGGCTTCATTACTTGGAGTTAGTGAGTAGATCATTACACATTTTTTTGGATATAACATTGACAGAGTGCTGAAGCTCTGAAGCAGACCTGTTGCTCCATGGCTGTCATTAGCAGGTGTCATGTTACTTGGTACACTATGAAAACAATTCAAAAATAGTTTTTTTGGGTGAAAATTAAATGTTTTCCTGTTAATTTTAATTGTTTGAAATCCTGGCAAGTATGGATAGTATAATTATTTCCTAATAATTGAGATATAATGCTGTGATTGATTTCCTGTTTTTACAATTGTTTCATTAGTAGGTCCCCCAATAAGGAGTCACTTTCAGTGTGATTATTAGTTGTGCATGCATACACATGTATTCTCAGATGTATGTTCTTTTTTATATGATTAGACTAGAACAGCTGCTAGTCGAAGAAGTTTGCCAAATGGGGAAAAAAAACGTTTTTCAGCATAATATTATGTAAACACAATTCAATTATTTGACTCTTTTATAGGGGAAAGTGGTCAAACAGTGTAGAAAAACAGTTCCCGCTCTGTGTATGACATAATTATGATGAACTAATAACATGTTAGTTTAGAGGGTGTGCCAAAATATTGTGTGCCAGGTGAAAGATATCACTGTGGTTGTGGAGCAAAATATCACACAGAAACACAGATTTTCTGACTGGGAATGAACCTTATTCCATGTTAATCAGAAGTTTATTTCATTTATGAAATACTCAAAGAGGTGATACATTTAGCATCCCCCTGTGGAAGTTTCACATTTGAACCTATAACCTCTGCAGTTATCTCAGGACTGAGAGAACTTTCCTATTAAAAATACTTACGTTGTTTGTATTAACATGTCTGTACATGTTTGTTTAGCTGGACATATTTAGATAGTAATGTTGAATTTATGAAGGTTCATTTGTAAAGGATACATAGAGGAAATGTATGTTACTTATTTTCCTCAACATTAAGCAAAGATTGCTTGGTTAAACAAAAAATAATCTTGCGTTTTGTTAGTTTGAATAGTTTGTATTACTTTTTATTGCTTAAAATAAGAAAATCATCTTCTAACATATTTGAGAGCTATTGCCTTTGATTAAGGGATTATAATGTCAACCAAGTACGTATTGTTTACAGTGGTGATTTCTAAACTTTTTTTGTGGTTAAATTATTTCATATGTTTAATCTAAGCATGTCTTATTTAGTGGCTTTCCTTATTGCTCTATCATGTTATTTAAAATAAATTCATTCTTGATATTATAAATATATAATAACTAGCAATTAAATCCATATTCTATTGGCTCAATTTCAGGTCAGGGAAGTGTCATCAAATGGTCCCAACATACCACCAGAACCCAGCCCTCAGGAGACTCAGAAAACCTTTGTGAGGGAGATGAAGCACCCCATTTTGCGCCCAGGTTACGTCCCTATCCCTGTCTTCCATGACGGCGCAGAACTGAAGCAGCAGCAGCATCCATGTTATTCCTACATCCAGCCAACTATTGCACAGAATATCCGGTCGGACGGGCGGACACCTTCCCCGACGCCGGGGCTCCACTGCAGGCCCAGATCACCCCTACATGGATCTACAGATAGCTGCTCCCCTGAGCCTGGAAAGGCCAGCTCGCCTGTTTCACAAACAGCAGAGGTAGGATTTGAGTACACATGCTGCAAAACCATATTTTTTTTGTGTAAAATAAATCAGCAAATACTGAATTTTTATTTAAATTCCCAATATTCTTAAGGTTTACACTGCCCCACATCACCAACCCTCACGCCCCAGCAGCACTGGTTTTCAAGCAGGTTACATCCCCATCCGTGTGATCCATGAGGGTGGAGGAAGTCAAACACCAACACAGGCTCAGTTAAATCCCTCCGTCTACTCTCAGCGCATCCCCTACCCAGAGCACCACCAGCCCCTCCATCGCCATCAGACCGACGAATGGCCCGGGTACTCTGCGGCAATGCAGCCTCCCCGGGAGAGAGCTTCTCCGATCCTGAATCCTCAACATCGAGATGCTACTTCTATTCACCTCCAACCTCATATTAGATGCCAGTCACCTATTATAACACAGGTGATGGGAGAGAGACCGCAGGTAATTATTATTTTTGTGTGTTTACACTGGAATCTATCTTGATTTTAACGTCAGTATGTGTTGACCTAAATTGTGATGTCATCTTTTTAAACTTCTAAGGCTCAGCAGCATGTCCTCACTAGAGACCCGCCCCAGAAAATGGAGCAGGAACAACACACCACTCAGCAGAAACCCGAGAACACGCAGCTCCCCCACCCACCGCACACAGAAGTTGACTTCCAAAAGCCTCAACAACCTCAACAGTTCCAACAGCCTCCACCTCCGCAACCTCAAAAGTTCCAACAGCCTCCACCCCCGCAACCTCAACAGTTCCAACAGCCTCCATCTCTGCAACCTCAACCGTTTCAGCAACCTCAGCAGTTTCAGCAACCTCAGCAGTATCAGCAGGCACAACCTCAATCCCCACAGCCTCAGTATCCTGAACAGTTCCAGCAGCCGCAGCAACAGTTCCGGCAGCCGCAGCAACAGTTCCCGCAGCCGCAGCAACAGTTCCCGCAGCCGCAGCAACAGTTCCAGCAGCCGCAGCAACAGTTCCCGCAGCCGCAGCAACAGTTCCAGCAGCCGCAGCAACAGTTCCAGCAGCCGCAGAAAGTGGAGCAACCACAACAACATACTGCAGATATCACAGTACAAATACCTCCCAAACCCGAGGCTGAGGACACAACAGTTGTTCCCCCAGAGGTCCCACCTGTGAAGGTTGAGGCTGAACATGCTGCTCAGAGCCCAGTGCATCCAGGCTTGGCTAAAGTACAGCAGATTGTTGCAAGGGTTGCTAAACTGGAGCAGGATGTGAAATGTTTTGAGGGAAAGAAGAATGGTAAGAAATACTTGTTACTGGAGGAGATGCTGACCAAAGAGCTCTTAGCACTGGACTCTGTTGACCCAGAAGGTCGTGTAGACATACGGCAGGTGAGGCGGGATGGAGTCCGGCGTGTTCAGAACATACTGGAAGCACTGGAGCAGCTGGAGGAGCGGCCATCTAGGGAAATGGCGATGGAGGGAGACAACCAGATGCAGAAAGGAGAGCCCAGAATGATCTCCAAGGAGAATGTAGAGCTGGCAAAGGAGATCTCATAATGACTTCACACTTCACACTGAAGAGGAGAGCAGGATGACCTGCTGTATATTTGATAGTGAACAAGTCTGTTTCGGCTATCTCTACTCCTCTTCTTACAGCATTTGTGGAAGTTGCATGCATTGATTAACAGTGTTGGTATTTCCTGCCATTCAGCACATAATTGATGGTAGCTCAGTGCAATCATGTTTTCAAGCCAATGTTGTTGCCTTCTATGTTGTGCCAACGTCTTCATAATAAGACAGCTGTCATGATCAAGGTGTTGTCAACAATTTCTAGTCAAATTGAAGTTGAAATAAGAGGCCTTTATCAATAAATGGAAGAAGAGTTTAAGTATTTTCTTAAGAAGTGTTATGTGTGGCTGCCTTTTGTCTTGATCATATATTGTATGCAGCTTTTCTTAATCCAGTCAGAAAATCGGTTAGTACACAAGTGCAAACATTGGGCTTTAAAGCAGAGTTCAGTCAACAGAGAAAAGCATTTTCCCCCTTTATAGCCACATGGTCGTGTTGGAGCTGCTTTGTCACAGAGCACAGTGAATATGTTTATTAGATGCTGCTTTTTGGCACATTACTGATTTTGCCGTCTTTGCACTTTGCCATCATTGAAATGTATCATGCTGAAAGATCATGGGCACTTCATTTGAAATATACAAGTTACATTTTTTGATTGATTTGTTTGAGTGTTTGTATGTGCATTGGTTTACTTGTTATTTCAAAAAAGATATCAGTATGTATATCCTTATATAGTATTTTGGTACATTTATGAATGTGTAATGACAAATTGAGGTCAGATGTGGACCTTACTCGAGATGTCGGACAATCAGCACCTGGTGCTAATGAGGAATCATAGTTTAAGATTGTCAGAATGTATAACCACCACAGCCACAATCTGTAATAACGCTGACACAATCCTTCAAAATGTCAACTGTGAGAAAGTGCCCGGTTCTTAAAAAGATGAAGCAAGGAAATTCCAATCTGTAATATTAAAAAGGTTCAAAAATATTCTTAAGATCTCACTAATCAGTTGTGTCCTAATTTGTCACTTTGATAATCATAAGCCATCTGTAAGGTAGGGTCTCTGCCGAACCCACCCTTACAAAATGATAGATTGTGGTATAGTGTTTGTTATTCACTGTTTATGAATAGCAGACTGATGCATTGTTGAAAGCAAATCACGTTGGTATGTTTGAAAATAAAATTTATTTGACAAGGATTTTGACTAATATTTGGGTTCCCACAGATTCTGCAACATTACTCACTGGCTAAATAATCCATTATTTAAATGGTATTGTTGTGCTACACCTTTGGATTTAAAGACGTGTCCTGAAACAGCATTCAGCTGTTTTATGTCTGGCTTAGTTTTCAATAGTAAGATTAATGTCTCTGTCTGAGATCAGCTGCTCCTTTCCTTTTCCCTCAGAGCCCAGCTGAGTCATAACAGAACATTTTTGCCGCCTTATTCCTAATCGGGTGTGGACAGCTAAAATGTCTGGTATGTTTTGTGCTTTTATGTAACATCAAAATAGGCACATAATTCCTTTTTTTTATGATTGTTTTGCACTTAATCCCCCCTTTTTTCTAGATTCAACTGGGATAAGCCGCTGTCTCTAAAAAAAAGGGGCTGAAGCTGTGATGTTTTGCTATCTCTGACAAAAAGTATCAACATTTTTTTACTTGAAGACAAATGAAGGCAAATGCCGGGAAAGAGCTACATTCCTAGTTATATCACATTTATTTTTAATTAAAAGACAAATAAAGCCAATCAAAAGTTACATTCTTATTTTCACTTTCATCAGAATGAGGAGTCCAATTATCAACATAATTGTGTTTTCAAGATATAACATCATATAATGAGTACAACATATAATTAACAATTACTGCATTCATTTAAATTATGTAATAGTTTAGTATATTAAAATCTTTTTATTTTTGTATGTAGGACTACTGTACCTGTGCCCTTGTGATGACGGGACAGATCACGTGTTATTGTTTAGAGCAGGAAACTGTCGGTTACGTCTTGAACTGCACACAGCAGCTGGGACACCTCACTCATTGATGTGTCTTTGCTTTTACTCTCCCCAGCATGACAGCGGGAAGGGCTGCTTCCAAAGTGGAAAGGGAATTTTATTAGCATTATGCTTAGAAGTGAAATAAACACATTCGATAAGCATCCAGCTGCTGCCGCTAGCTCGCTAGGTGGCTAGCTCCCGTAGCTCACCAGCCTGAGGGGGACGAGCTAACCGTGGCTAGCCAGTCGCTCTCTGGCTAGCTACAGTCAACCTCCAGGACGTGGAAGTTCATTATTACCAGTACCTGGCTGCGAAGACAGCTAGTTATCTGTGTTTGTGGCACATAAAGGGACAAAATGGAGCTGTTCCAAGCCAAAGACGACTACATTCTCCAGAGCGGGGACCGTGCTCTGTGGTGCAGCCGAAAAGACGGGACCATGACGGTCAGACCTGGTACGTACTGATGACAGCTTTCTGTACCGCAGCCGGCCATTTACCTTGTTTGTAGCCTTTATTTAACCAGGTTAAAAAATCCCATTGAGATCAACGATCTATTTTTCACTTGACACTAACACTCCACTTTATGAATATTAGAGTAAAGTAATGTCATATACTTCTTATCCTATAGCCTATGATAAGTGAGTCTCAAACATCTCATTGGGTTAGTCTCATCTCCTAATCGTTATTGGCACTCGCTAATCTCTGATATAAACGTTATCATTAAATTGGTCTCATTTATCCAGCTGCGTCAAACATAACAATTCGATTTTTTTCAAAGATAAGATAGATATGCGCCGTTTCTAAGTCTTGAAACCATCGTCTAAGCTTTCATTCCCGGAGTGGCAACACCCCAAACAGATTTCAAAGTTATTGCTCTGCTCCTTATCTTCAATTCTTCTCCTGACCAAACAGACATAGTACAGGGCTGTAAGGAGGGCAAGATAACCTAATTTGAGCTTTCATATGATATACTTGATTCATGATAGCTTAACCAATGTACTATTCTAATCTGGTGTATTATCAGAAAACTATAATATCATTATAATGTTTCAAGTAGTGCAAACTATACAGGTACAGGCATGTTAAGTGTGTGAAGCAGCTCCTGGCATTACACAATAGTGCGTAACAGATTACTGATGCTGTGGCTCACAACTTTCATAAAGAATTTGTCATGATTTCCTTTTTGAATGAAAGACTGTGGGAACTGTTGAAAGAACTGCTGAACTAAAAGAGAAGTTTCATTAGTCACCAGAAGGCAGTGCCTGTTATCCTGTGTGTCGTGGAAGTGGTATGGCTGTGCAGCCATCCTGAACAGGTTTTTAGTTGCACCACTGTTTCATTATTTAATTGGAAAAAGGGTTTCCACTCCTCACTGGGTTTCCACTCCACTCCCAAGCACAGGATGAAGTTGTGGTATCATTCTTATATTATGTCTTCCAGTGGCTTTCACAGGCAGTTCCTCTGTACATGAATGTTTCTGAATGGTGGAACAGGAAGAGTCATTGTCTGACGCTGCCTACAGTTCATGATCTCCACCCGTAGCCACACCTCTCATACTTTTCCCATTTTCTCCACTATTTATGTTTAATCCGTCACCAATGCTAGGCATTCCAGGTTCTCCTTCTGGTCACTAAGTTTGTGGAGACAAAATGGAGATATACAAAAAACATAAAGAATAACAGACCTACATGATTCATACAGATTAAGTAAGATTCCACTATCTATCTATTACAGCATTCACCCCAGCTGCAATTGAAGAACAAGTCTTTAACTTTTTTGAGTGGTTAAAATACATGCTTGCATTATAACAGGAAGTCGCCTAACCTCAACTCTTTCTAGGCACCTTCTGTTTGGTTAGTGTGAGCTGTTTGTGAAAGAAAATGTGCTGCTTTAATCTTAAAATAACTTGAGACTCCAATAAACTAAGTGGCCTACATTGCCCTGTTCTTGTTTGTATAATTATTTAACCTGGCTGCCTATCCGGTCTGAAGCATATTTTGCTGAGCTGGCTTTGCTACACCACTGATCTGTTTAATTTTCATTTTTCTGTTTCAGCAACCGACCTGTTGTTAGCCTGGAATCCAGTCTGTTTGGGTTTGGTAGAAGGTGTCATTGGAAAGATACAGCTTCACACAGGTAAGTGGAGAGTGAAAAAAACATTTGACCATTTCACCTTTATCTGCTTTTTCACCCGTATTTCCCATCTGTGCGCAGAGGATGCTTGGGTTGCCAAATCATTCAGTCTTAGATCTTATCTTCCTCACAAGAGAAGGTGTGAAAAAAACATGTTAAAGTATTTTGAAATGTGTGTACTTCTGAAGATGTCATGGTAATGATTCCACTTCAGATTTTGTATGGCCTCTGTCTGCCTCAGAACATTAAACATTATACCCTTCACAAGAAAATATATAATCAATGTTATTGAAATGGATGAACATGGTTTGAATATTTATTTACCACGGGTCCATATTACAAAATCTGCAGCTAATTGCTGGTGTTCAGCTGCTTTTTTCACACCTCAAAATGTGAGGAATTCTGCACCCCTGACGCAACTCCCCCTTCTTTTTTCTCTCATGTTGGCAGACCTTCCTCTTGGTCTCGTATTAATCCGCCAGAAAGCCCTGGTGGGCACCCTGCCAGGCAACCACAAAGTCTACAAGATCACAAAGATAGCAGTCATTCCTCTGTCTGATGAAGAGCCCCAGGAGCTGGAGCTGGAGGTGTGTACACCAACACCGTAATGAGACAAGAGAATCAGTGTCCATGTACTTGTGCTCTAATTATTGCACTCAGCCCTTTTGGCAATCACTTAAATGGTGCTTGTGAGATGACTGAATTGCATTTCATTATTTCATATCCAAAATATCCCAAAATACCCTGTATGCATCACCGTATGATTCATCTCTGATGTTAGTTGTAGTTTTTTTTATTTTCACCCACACATTCAGAGTAAAAAATAAAATCCCAGACATAAAATCACTGCAATAGAGCTCAAAGAAAGTGGAATATGACTAAGATGTCAGTCTTTCAGGGAAACTTCATGGATGGTGAGACAGAGAATTATTTTCAAGTGAGTAAATACGGAGAAGGATGATTGTTCCCGGATAGGCTTTTAGGCCCCGTCCTGTAATGTCCTCCCTGTTTTGCCTAGAAATACTATAGCTCAAGTAGCTTTTAGATTGTTTACTGTGTTGGCTTAGGCCAGGGGTCTGCAACCTTTTTGACCAAAAGAGCCATTTTGCCCCCTTTTCCACCAATTTTTTTTTGTCTGGAGCCGCAAAACATATTTGATAGCTTGATAGCTTATAAAGTTGTATATATTGTTACATCATAGACAAAAACTACAGTTATTTTGCATTTATTATTTATTACGTTATAGAAAACTGTTTACCTCTAATAACAAACAAAGAACTCTTATAAGGAGAATACAAAAATATATATAGCTGCACCCTAAAAAGAGTTTACTGATTGAATTATGACTGAAGAGCGTCAGCTGTCTTCCTCTTCCGTGTTGTTCCTCCAATATGTAAAGGCTGCAGCAGCTTTGACGGCTTCTCTCCACATATCAAACATACCGGTAAGCCAGCATCGTTTGCTGTGAAAGCAAATAACTCTAACCACGCAGAATTAAACCCTCTGTGTTCCTCCGATACTTTTCTTTTCTTTGATTTATCCATAGTTCGCTCATCGAGCCGGGGGTCAGGTTATTCGCCTGCAAGGAAAGGCGCTGGTGCGAGACCGTAGCAGGATGTGGCGTAATTTTAGTTGACCTAATTAAAACCATTTTTTTATGTGTCACAGTATCACCTCAAAATACAAGATACGAAACAATTTCAACCGTGCAACAAAATATAAATAGTCCTACAAATATTTTTATTTTATTTCCTTCTTATTTTTGTCTAAGCTCAAGGGAGCCAGAGTAGAGGGCTTAGAGAGCTGCATGTGGCTCGAGAGCCGCTGGTTGCCGACCCCTGGTTCAGGAGAAATAGAAATATAGAATACTGTTTCTTTTGGATGTTTGTTGAAATGTTTATTTGTTGTTCAAAGGTGGTTTTAAATGATAACAACCTCACCAGATTGACTTTATCTTTCGTAATATCCCTGATATCTGTATTTAATTGCATACATTTGATGGAGTATCCTCTTTTTTAGCTTTGCAAGAAACATCACTTTGGAATCGACAAACCAGAGAAGCTGGCCCCGT